TAGTGTTTCTAGCGGATGCGACGAAACTGTATTACCGGGCATGTAGAGCCAATGCTAAAACAGTATCTCTAGCAGCAACACTACCAACCGCATGCGCGCATCATACACAAGAAAAACGATGCCACCAACACCAGCGACAAGACCACAAGCCCTGATAGTCGCAAGACGCCGCATGTGCGAATAATTCAACTGCTGATAGTCGCAAGACGCCGCATGTGCGAATAATTCAACTGCACCAATCGACTCATCGCTGTCACTGTCGCAGCTGGCACAACATCATGAGCACCACTCAGCGTCAGTATGGTGACCCTTGGTGTTTGCATCTCTCCCGTGATCATCGTCACCACCGCCGTCAACAGGGCACAATCGGCTTCAAATCACATTAATATGGTATCCTTAAGTTTAAGTCTGTCTATAGTCTACAGCCCTTCAGGCTTGGGATTTGGGGTTGAAGGTGCAGGACAGCAAGGGAGTGCTGTTGAGTAGAAGCTCTCAGCTTTAAGTCCGAAGCCCCCGTTGAATCCGAACTCCTCCCCAAAGCCCCACTCTGAAGCGCCTAAGGCCCTCCTAGGCCCCAGATCCTACGTCTAAGGACTCCTATGACAATTTCTTGAGCCACGCCTGGGCGAGCTCCGGATGGCTGCTCCTGGGCTTTTCAGGGGCTGTTAAGGGAGGGGCTGGTGCTTCAAGGTTGAGGTTTTGGAGTTGAAGTTTGCGGATGTAGGTTCCATAGGTAGGGTGAGCAATTTTTGTCGATTGCTGCGGTTTGGCACAAGCCCTCTGTAATTCACTTACAGTCATTGGTGTTTTGAGATAGGAATTCAGGTATAGCGGCACCATACCTGTAACTTCTTTCGGGGCCCCTGCTTCCGCAAACGGGAATTGGCAGGAAGTATCTGTCCCTGCTCATCCTGTTCAACGCCCGGGCCGCAATGGTGTCTACGATCCTAATTTCCGTTCTGATTGGCGTGCTTCGCATGATGGCCATCCTGCCGAACATGGTGTGGACACAGCTTCCGTGCTATGTAATCTATTTTTCGACGCTCGCCCCCTGACGGCAACAAGTGCGTGACGCCTCAGGAATGTGGGTTTAGGTGCTTTTCAGGCTTTGGCGACTCCTAGATTTTGGGCCAACCACTTGCTGCCTGCTTGAAGGATCCTGGTGATGCCCAATGAAGTTCTGAATGTGCATGACCTGCCTGTGCTGAGGATGAGCATGTCGGTTCAGCATGAGTTTCCAGGTTCTATAGGAGCTAATGCTACAGCACGTGCGAATGGCAGCTGTTCACAAGTACCAGCCTTTCATGCGTGTCAGATCGTTGCATCACAAACCGGAGCACATGTCGATTCTCACGAATTCCGGGTCCGTTCGTTCCTAACTTTCTGTGGTTGGCTCACGACATCAAAATTAGGATCCGTGAGTTTTCGGGCTCCGATAGAGTACGTCACTGTTGAGGGTCCGTAAAGTAAAGAGAACAACATACGAAGAAATGAGGCTGTCCTAATCAGATTCAGAGGACTCCCGCGGTAGCCTCTGCAAGCCCCAGCGCCGACTCCAGGACACCAAATCCCAAGATCCTATAGCCCAAACAAACCCTAATACATGGTCCGAGTTTTCGGAAAAAAAGTTTGGGAACCAATGCTATTATATTGCATGGATATACGAAGGAATTAGGCCGGGATCCGCTGACCAACTGTTCAAGCCTCGCCTCTACACCAAACCTTAAGCGGCAAAACCGTAAACCACTGTGCTGAAAGACCTTTTCCAGACCCGTTTATGTGAGCTCTTCAATCAAACCGTTTTCACAGGAACCCTGACCCAATCTGAAGCAGGCTATGTGGCAGCGGATACGTGATATTTTCAGATCGCCTCGCATCGTCTTCCTTGACCGTCTCTGCATCCCACAAGATGACGAGGACCAGAATGGATGACTCAAAAAACGGGTCTGCAAGGATTCTACATGACATGGGCTCCACTCTCCATAAGGGTTCTTACCAGGGTCTCTATAAAAAGGCTTAGGGGTTTAGGGATGGTTCAAGGGTTCAGGGATTAGGGCTTTGAACCTCTCAGCTGCCAGCCATTCGCGAGAAAAGCGCTCCTCTAATGTGTTTGTTTGTTGGTCCTTAACCTCTTTGAAACATCGAGATCGTTGGGACTTGGATCCTTGGAGACATATAATCTCTAAATCCGCTGCTTATTTCCCTTAGCGTCAGGTTTAGGCGAACTGTTGCAGAACCCGAACTCCAAAAGCTGAATACACGCCATCGTTTTGAAAGACGAGCCGGGTACCCAACATTATGTAGTAGTTTCGCATCTTGCCTCCAAACGCCTGTGCCGGAAGCACCACGCTCAGTTTCGAGTCTACTAGTAGTAGTAGTAGTAGTAGCAGTAGCAGTAGCAGTAGTAGTAGCAGTAGTAGTAGAGTAGCCCAAACCCGAACTCCGGGGAGTCTGAGTCCAAGCACCACAAAATTAGCAGCACAACATTTCACTGCAACTCATGACACGTGAAAATTGGACAGCTATGCATGAGAATCATGTTGTACATGGCACGGAATGCAAAGTCACTTCTGAATTACTTTGCATACCTAGGCCTACATGTGATTCTGCTGCTTACAAGGATAACGAAAACTTGTTTCAGAAACCTAATCCAAGTCCGATCTTCATTTCCTAGGTTCAGAACCTATTGCTTTTCTTTCTGAAACCTGGGAATATTCCCTCCAACCCTCAAGAACATTGACCCATATGTCATTGCAGTTTGTCCGTTGGTCGGCCATTTGCCTCCCCCGATTATCCCTCCGTTGTTGTGGCTGACTGTTGATTGAAAATTTGTCGCTGCACGCATCGTGGGCGCCTCTGTTTGTCGACCTCTCCTTCTTCACGGATTTGGGGTGGGATGCTGGAGAGACCGAGTGCGTCTCAGGAGAAGAAATCTGAATGTATTCGCGGGCTTGCTGGTTACCTGGATCGAGCACACACCTTGACCGTCTTATGGTCGAATGAGTACTTTGGCCGGCTCTGGTGACTTGGCTGCCGTCGACAAGAGCACGAAGCAGAATGATTGAACCCTCAAGCCTAAGGATGGGGCTCGGGGTTTGGCTTACAGAAGGGTCATGGGAGAAGTTTCAGTTGCACGATTCTCGTGCGATCAGAGAAGGGCCGCGCAATACTCAAACACTCCACAGTCAGTACAAGACCCTCGCGCTAACAGTGCCAGTAGGAAGTAAGGAGTACCACGCTTCGGTTCCGACTGCCTCGGGTTCCCATCAGGGTGGCATGAAGATGTGGGAACCTGATTAGGAAACCTCGTCCTTATAAGCCCAATCTATTCGGATGCACAGAAAGAACCCTAGTCAAAAAAACTGGGTTTCTTAAGGTGCCAAAACGATATCAAGCACATCAAAGGTTTAAGTGTCCTGGAATGTGATCGAGATTTTGACCGATATGCTCCATATGGCTGATACATGCTGATACGACGCAATGTGTCGTCTCATTTCTGTTTATTATGTCCTGCGGCCGCTCAGAGTGTTTAGAGAAGAAGGCATAACAAGGCGCAACAGGGATGAGAACAGATCAGCCCCGGCTGGTCCACTACGGCACTCACAACCATCATCGCCATCATCATCATCATCATCAACAGATCAGGTGCGTGTTTGAGCTGGCCACTTTTCTCCGGAATCGGCGCAGCCGGCCCATCCAGCTTCTGCCAGTGGAGATGTCCATGCTTGCCTTTTTGATAGGTCTCTGCTACAGCATGGTAAATCTGGCCTACCGGACCATCATGGAGGCCCGCAACATGACCTTCGCTGGGAGCCTCAAAACAACCCCCTGGCTGGCCACCCTCAGGGCCTCTGGCTGGCTGGCACTGATTGGCGTGCCGGTGATTCCGTTTTACATATATCTCGGCCTGGACTTCATGATGAAACTTCGACTCCTACCGACGCAGCTTCGCACTTTCGATGCTCGGAAGGCTAGCTGCTACTGCTGCACGGTGCCTCGGACCTTTTTCAGGCTTGAAGTTTCGAGTCCTCCAGTGGAGTAGCGATATGCAAGAGACTTAGGTGGATCATACGGACCCTCAGACGAAAACTCCCATCTTTTGCGACCGGAAGCTGATTATGGAAAAGCTAGCGGAGTGGTATGGCGACCCCGAAGACTGCGAAGACACGGATATGGAGATCGATGGAGCGATTGAGCAGTTCAACCACTTGGTGCGCAAGGAGCTCGCCGACGTTTTCCTTGAGATGATGTCCGGCCGCGATGTTCTGTGGCAATACATATACCTCTTGATCGGCATGAGTCTTGTCCGGCAAAACCAGGCGAACGTTTCGGTCTCGAGTTTGGACAGTGCGGCCGCATACTCATGTACAGAGTGCAAACGTGCGCAACGCAAGGCCCGTCACTTTTTGAGAAGTTTCCGATGCTGAGTCTGAGAATACTTTCTGTAATTGCCAACAGTCGGTCGTGTCTGCCAGGTTGTCGCAACATGTCAAGGACACGAGAAATCTTGCATGAATGGATCTCACATTCTAGCCCTGCCCGTCATTATTCAGGCCTTGGAATGCCGAGGCACCTGTCCTTAAGGACGAAAAGAACACTAAACGGGTTTAGGGCTCATATACCATATAGGGATTTCATAGTATAATCCTATAGGGCCCCTACTTTAAGGGTCATTTCGTCCTTAGGGATTGCTTTCTTCCGTGAGAGATGGGAGACGGAGGAACTGTCCGGTCTGCACCTATCTCCTGGGAGACATGGGCTTCCCCCCGGACTCGATGGAAGGTGGGAGCTGCGGTGTCTGAGGTTCCCAGCCCATGCCTTCGCATGGGCTGGTGGGCTGGTGACCAATCTCACTAAAGTCACTAAAGTTCACTAAAGCTCTACTAAGCTTAGGCCAAACTTCCCCAAACTCTCCGGCCATCTTATCCGACCGAGCTGAGATTTCAAGCCCCAAATCGAGTCTTCGGCACAGGCTGGGCCCTGCATTCCTGGAGAGCCAGAGAGTGCACCAGCTTCGTCCACCTCTTCTTGCAAATATTTGCAGCGGTGCAGATTTTCTCGATGCCTGCATGAACATGGTCGCTATGACAGTAGGACGTAATACGTTAGTGGTTCAGTTATGTTACTATGTTGCTAGTTTCCCCTTCGGCAATACACCTTGAGCCAGATAGAGCGGTGAGCAGGCGCGTTCAGGTGGGAGGTTTGGCGGGTGTTTCTGGTGATCATGGCCAATATCACCATGGCAATAGGTATCGGTGTCGTCATGCACCATCACCAACTTCTTCCCTAACCCTCACCATGACCACCAGTATCATCATTAACATCAGCAGCAAGACCTTGGTCATCACCACATCGAGCTGTGATTGCCAGCTTCGTGATCCTCGTGCTCAGTCAATAGTTATCACCGGCACTGTTATCGTCTCTACCATGGTTTTCCTGATCGCCACCATCCTCATTTTCATCATTACTACCGTCACCGCCGCCACCAGCGCTTGAACCATCACCGGCACCAGTGTAGCCGGCGTTGCTGTCGCTGTCGCCATTGGCATCATGTCAGGCACTGGGATTACACCATTGATCGGCGCTGCTTGATGGTCAACAGTGCTAGTTACGCATAGTGGACATAGGGGTCCACCAAGGACAGTGTGGACTCTTGGGGCGATATATCTCAAAGATCATCATCGGTTCATGGCTGCTTTGATATTGACCCCCATTCTGATTGTCTTGGCGGTGGGGCTATTCTACTATCCGTTCCGGCTCTGTTTGGAACTCTCCGTTGACGGCAGCCTGCCACTGCCATTGACAGCCGTGTCTCGACACGCTCTAGTTGAAGGTGCTGGGATCGCCATAAAGCAAGACGGCTCAGGCCACAACAGTTTCACCGTACACGTGCTTGCATTTTGATCTGGTCATGTGCGCGACACCTGTAGCGTTCGTGCATTTCCCTAAACCTCTAACCCCGTAACCTTCACTGGGTCCCTGTTGGATACAATTTTACACTTTTGCTATAATGAAACCCTAATAACTAATAAAGATAATGATCATGTTTCATATGGCCCCAACAGGGAACCAGGTTTATAGGTTAGGTTCAGGGCTGAGGCCTTGAATGTCGGGTTCGGGGCTCGCTCTCATTTCAGCCCGACCAAAGAAAGCAGCTCGACTGCGCACTCGCACATCTCCCAACCCACATCTCCTGTCGACGCCCCTAAGGCCCCGAATCCCCAAACCCCGCCTTGTTCTGAAGGGGTCCTTTTAGTTTACACTTCCTATAGACCCTAAAACCCTAAACCGCTCCTTAGGATCAGCAAGTAATAGCATTGAGGGTTTATAGGGCTTAGGGTTTACATTACCTTTTGGTCCGAAGCCTATTCTGACCATGAAGGCATGGCTTGGTTGTTGTTGTATTTCGGAAGGGGGCAGGACTGGTATTTTGCACAACTGCCGGGTAACCCGGCAGTACATGAGACCGTCCTGACATGTGTCTGTTGAGCTTAAGAACCAGGGCAGCTCCAAAAAGAGCATCCACGCCCCATCTGCGAGCTAGCTCAGGTTCTATGAATCTATGAATCTTTTGAAGTGCCTGATAGCAAAGTTTGCATAGATTTTTATGTTTCACACCAGAAACAGCCAAGAGGGCCCAGTGTGGAGGTCTGTATGATGAGACATAAAGCCATAAAGCTCCCTTGTAATTAGGGTTTAGGGTAACAAAGTAGTTCCTAATTTCCAATATTCGAGCAGACCACAAAACCCTGTTCCAATTTTTCGGAGCCCTCTATCAAACCTTGACGCTTATGACAATAGAATCCCTAACCACCTCTTCAAAGGAGCCCCAATCTTTCTGAAATCAGCCAAGCAGTAGGATCACAGGACCACCCACAAGCGAGGTACCCCTCATGTCGGGAAACCTCCAGACTCGCGTCGCAAGTAACCTTGCTTCCGTGCAGGCACAGCGCTTGGAAATGGAGCGCTGGCTGTTGGACAGGCCGGCAGCCGGCAGATCGCGCATCTAGAGCGTCGTATGGCATATGATGGTAATTACGAGCCCATAGTTTGTGAATGCCTTATCCTGAACCACAGAGGTGTTTCCACGTTTCGGCTACAGTTCTGAGGGGCGAAAACGAGAACTGGGACCCCTTTTCGGCCTGGTTGCGGTTTGAACACTAGGATGTTCAGTAGTGTTTGTTTTTGTATTTGGGTTCCTTTTATATATATATATATATAAATACACACATTGACTAACCCAAAAAAGTATATATTCTTCCCAGTGGGTTGCTGAACAGCTTAGAACAGGTTACACTTCCTTGCATATTCGAGCAAAATAGAGCATACATAGTCAGAAGGACCACGGAATCACAAGTTTGACCCCCCTGCAGAGGACGCTCGTGCCACTTAGACCCTCCCTGGCTTACAAAGCTACCCCCAAAGTAGAGCACCTTTTTTCGGCAAGATTCAGATACAGACTCAAAGTCTCAAGGTCTTTGCCTTTCACACAGAGGTATCTTGGGCCCTCAAAGCCCGAAAACCCCAAACCAGTACTCCCAATTCGCCAGACATTCAACCCGCAATACTTCAACCTGCATTTGGGTAGTTCTCTTGATTAGGGTCCCTTTTTGGGTCCCCAACATAGTACGGCACCCTTACAAAAAGGATCCTAAAAGGGACCCTAATTTAGAGAACTACCCTTTTCGGTATATCTTCTTGAGTTCAATCAAGAACAAGCCATGTAGTTCTTGAGGTTTAGAGCACCTTGGGCGGGTTTATGGCGCGTAGGTTGCCGGCATTTACGGCTTCTGACTGAGCCTGCTAACTGCAACTACGGAGCCTTGCTGTTACCTTGCTGAAACGTTTAAGTTTGGACTTTTCGAAGTATAGTAGAAGCTGAATAATTGTCCAATGCTCTTCCTCAGGGCTCCTAACACACGGTTTTTGTAATCTGACATGCCGCACAACTCTTTCTCAAGTTATGAAGGCCTCAGCCGTACACATGGGGAACGTATCGGGATTGGGGGGTTACAGGGTTAGGGCCCTTGGTTCTGGGTTTAGGGCCTAGGGCCTAGGGCTTACAGGGCTTTTAGGGTTTAGGGGGAGAGGCCATTGATAAGGAGCCACTACTTCTCCACATAGGGGCATCGTATCGAGGGGCCCGTAAAATGTGGCGGTTATTCAGGTTCAAGAGCAGGGTGTTTTGCTACACATTGCGCTTGATTATTCATCCTCGCGTTGTCCTCGACATGCTTCGTCAGGGTTTCGCCTGCACATACCCTCCGCAAGAACACGTCGTACAAGGTGGCATCACACCATGCGCCCCTTGTCCCAAAGCCAAGTGCAAACTCAGGGGCAGCACGAAAAAATTCTTCGACGTCTAGGCCCAAACCATGAGGCCTCAGTTCAAGCAGAATCCCCTCGCCATGGCTTTTTTGGCAGTCCAGCTTGAGAGGGATCTCTTTAACGCCGAAGCATACCCCAAAAGCCCTATCCTAATTGCTAGTGGCTTCATATACCGATGCCTCCGTACTCCACCTGACCTGTCAAAAACGGACGTAAACAACAGCAGAAAGGCGGCCCGTTGTGGAGGCGCGGAAGCACGCTGCTCTGTGGCTGTAACCTAGTTCAATCAGGGGGTCGGAACAATTAGCATCAACAGTTAATAGTCCGTAATGGTCCCAGATAGTCCCTTATATAACTTAGGTATACTGGCGATATGATCCAGCACCCTATTCTAACAACTTAGTAAGGCCACTATACTCGGAGAGTGGTGTCAAGACACTTTTGGACACATCAAGCGAGGCGTCTTTACGTGGGGCGTTTACAAGCAGAAGGTGTTTGGATCGGTGTGTAAGGATGCATTTTTGGTGGAAGATACCGTGGCATTCCAACGACATACAGCGGCCCGATTTGTGAGAGCCCAGGAGCTAGGACCTCTTCCGAAGAGTGGGCAACGTAATGGATACAAGGCTTCAACACCCTATAAACCCTAAACCCTATAAACCCTAAATCCAAGCATGGACATTATCATCCAGACGCTCCCCCCATCCGCTAGACCACGACCTTGGGGGTTTAGGGTTTAGGGCAGCCTCCGCACCAAACCATTGAGGAATACAGATAACCAAGATCACTGCAAGGAATGCTGCATTTTAGACCCTGCAGCGAAGTGCTCGCATCGCCCAAGTCATGCGAGAGGTGTTGCGAGGCCTGTTCTGTCAAGGCAACGATCTGCGAGGAGGTCTTGGACTCGGAGGAGGAAGCAGTTTACAACGAAGTCTCTGCCAGCCGCCGGCAACGTCGCCCCTTGCGGTTCTGCACCGATGGGGAGCCCTAAACCCTATAAACCCTCTCTTAGCAGATCGCTTGAAACAGCGCCAGGTGACTCTTCTGAGAAGACCAGCAGAGTCGTTTTTCAAGAGAATGTAGGGTTTCTATATTCGGAATTACTACATGTTGGTCTGTTCAAGTATCCCGGTGTAGGTACTTCGGACACTTTAGGACTCTACTGTACTCTGCTCTGCTCTGCCTCCTTTACGCTACTCTACTACGGTAGGTGTCCTTCGGGTAGGCCTGGCCAAGATAAAGAGGGCACTGGTCATTTGGTAGAGGTCGTTTCTTTTGAGATTTTTTTATGTTCCCCTATCTCCCACAAAAGAGCACATCTACGAAATCGCAAAACCAAACTTCTAAACCCTAAACCCCCTCAACCCTATAAATCTAAATCCTAAGCCCTAAACCCCAAACCCCAAAAACCCTAAACCCCAAGCCCCAAAAAATCCAAAAAAAATTAAACTTCCCCAAAATCCTAAAATTCCCCCAAAATCCTAGAATTCCCAAAAATCCTAAACACAGCGTCGGCCAGGCTCCTGCAGCCCCGCGGCGCCCAGCTCAAAGAGGCGGCCGCGCCCAGCGGCAGACTTCGCTCCGAGGTCTGAATCCTAGGTAGTATTCGGGAGACCCCTTAAGGGGGCTTTAGGGTTTAGGGTTTAGTAATTTAGGGTTTAGGGTTTAGTAATTTAGGGCTTAGGGCTTAGGGTTAAAGGGCACCCTTCTTGACCCTACTTATTATGGCTCTCTGAAAGGGGACCTTACTCGGAGGGTCTATATCCCCAAGGGTCCCCCTAATCCTATCTCCGTCGCTGAGGGCTCTTAGGGTTTAGGGGTTTGGGGTTTTTAGGGTTTAGCGGTTTAGGGTTTAGGGGTTTAGGGTTTAGGGGTTAGGGGTTTAGGGTTTGGGGGTTTAGGGTTTAGGGTTTGGGGGTTTAGCGTGTAGTGGTTCAAGGTTTAGTGCTTTTAGGGTTTGGGGTTTACGGCTTTTGGGGCTTACGGGGCCTGATCAGCTCCTTTGAGGATTCCTTTACGCCTTCAAGTGACCTGCAAGGCTTTGGGATTTCAGTACCCGCTAAAGGGCATAGTATATCTTCGGGCCTGTCTAGAAAGCCCTTTAATTTAAGGCCAAAGTAAATACCCTGAGGGTCCATGTACCCCAATAGTATATACATTGGCCCTAAAGTACCTATACAGGGCTACATTAAGGCCAACGTATATACTATTTGGGTACATGGACCCTTTTAGGGAATACTAATATGGACCCATGTCCGCAGAGATGAGGCCGCTTTGTGCCAGATTCGTATAGCAGTCCTAGAGGCCTCCACTCTCTCAGGACGAGATGAACCCTAAAAGGGTTTAAGGTTCGAAGGCCATAATAGGGATTCATAGTATAAGGGTATGGGGTGTCTAGTGTTTAAGGGTCTTTTCTGGGGTTCAGAAAGAGAAACGTACCCGTGTTGTCTTAGCTGCGACGATTGGCTTCGACTTGCCATAGCTCTGAGTGGAAGCGGTTGGCATTGAAGGTGTAGGGCAGCATCTTTGTCTGCGCCGTTTCTTACGGATGTTCACGAAGAGCCCTCAACCCTAGA